TTCCGATAAGGCTGCATCAATTTCCGATAAGGCCCATCAATTTCCGATAAGGCCTGTCACCCACCTCCGTCGCCTCACTGCCTGGGAAAAGAAATTACCCAAGCAGTATACTGTTGCTGCCGCCCCTGGAGTGAACTCCCTCCACCTCCCGCTGGAGCTAGAATCCACTACCAGCGCACTCAAGCTCTCGCTTTCTGGTCTGGTTGACTGTGGTGCCACCTCTGATTTCATCGACACAAACTATGTCACTAGAAATGGCATTCCAGTCCGCACTCTGGCGCAACCAATTCCGGTCTTCAACGTCGACGGCACTCCGAATGATGCTGGCTCCATCAATCAGATCACGGACTTGGTCCTACGCTACAAAGGCCATTCCGAGCGTGTTCAACTTGCTGTCACTCATCTTGGCAAACAAGACCTCATCCTGGGGTACTCCTGGCTGCGGAAGCATAACCCGGAAATCAATTGGGAAGCCAAGGAGGTCAAGATGACACGGTGCCCCCGCGGCTGCTCCACTTGCCGCGAGGAAGAACGTGTTGAACGGGCTGAGTTACGGCGACTCCGCCTACTCCAGAAGCGCCTCCGCTCCGGCCCGTTCCCCTCGATCTGCGCCATGGACCTGTCTGGTCCTGACGACGAAGGCGAATCTGTTTCCGATGGCGATTCCGGTCTGCCTGATCTGATGCCAGACTCCGATGACGACGACGATGATGACCAACTCGAAGATGGTGACCGCATCTTCTACACCTCGTTCCGTCCCTCGGAGGAGATACGTGCTGGCAGCACCGTCTCGCAGCGCCTAGCCGAAGCCTTCGCCAGGAACTCCGCGCCTCCGCCCTCTGAGATCCCAGACTGGGCTAGGGAGTTTGAAGATGTCTTCAACAAGGAGTCCTTCGACACATTACCGGAACGGAGAGCCTGGGACCACGCCATCGAACTCGTCCCTGACGCCAAGCCTACTAACTGCAAGGTGTACCCCATCTCGCCCCTCGAGCAATGCGAGCTTGACGCGTTCATCGAGGAAGGGCTTTCAACGGGCCGGATTCGCCCCTCCAAGTCTCCGATGGCGTCTCCAGTCTTCTTCGTCAAAAAAAAGGATGGCGGACTCTCAAAGGCGCTCATTACTTCACCAAACTCGACGTCCGTTGGGGCTTCAACAACGTCCGGATCAAGGAAGGTGACGAGTGGAAAGCGGCTTTCCGGACTAACCGAGGCCTGTTCGAGCCCTTGGTGATGTATTTTGGCCTGACAAACTCCCCTGTGACGTTCCAAACGATGATGAATGACATTTTCCAGGACCTCATCCTCTCCGGAGATGTCATGATCTACCTTGACGACATCCTGATCGCCCATTCCGACCTCCGGAAACACCGGCAGATCGTTCAGGAGGTCTTACGGCAACTCCGAGAGCACAAGTTGTACCTCCGAGCGGAGAAGTGCGACTTCGAAAAATCGTCAATCGAGTACCTTGGAGTCATCATCTCCCACAACCACGTCGAAATGGACCCCGTCAAGGTTGCAGGCGTTTCCGCCTGGCCGACTCCAGAAAACAAGAAGGATGTTCAGCAGTTCCTTGGGTTTGCTAATTTCTACCGCAGGTTCATTCGGGACTTCCCAGCCCTTGCGCGACCGCTCTTCGCGCTTACCAAGAAGGACCAGAGGTGGACTTGGGGCGACGCAGAGGCCTCCGCGTTCCAGGCGATCAAGGACGCGGTCACCTCGGAACCGGTTCTGGCGATCCCAGACGATGCACGGCCTTTCCGACTCGAGGCGGACAGCTCTGATTATGCGACGGGGGCGGTTCTTTCACAATCCGCCCCGGACGGGCACCCGTAGCTGTAAGATTTAGCCTAACCTCCAAGGTGCACCCAGGATATACAATCCGCCCCGGACGGGAAGTGGCACCCTATAGCATTCTATTCCAAAAGCTTAAATGATGTCCAGCGCAACTACGAAATCCACGACAAGGAGATGCTCGCGATCATCCGTGCACTCGAGGAGTATAGACACTTCCTCGAGGGCGCCGCGCACCCTGTCGAGATTTGGACTGACCATAAGAATTTGGAGTACTTCAGGAAGACGCAGCACCTCAACCGGAGACAAGCCCGTTGGTCCCTTTACCTCTCCCAGTTCGACTTCACACTGCACCACAAACCCGGTCGCGACATGGGCCGACCTGACGCTCTCTCCCGGAGACCTGACCATGGAATCAACTCCGACAACTCCGACGTTGTCCTCCTGCGACCCGAACTCTTCCACGTCCGCGCACTCGAAGGCGTCTCCGTCTCTGGCCCCGGTTCCGAACTCCTTCGCGACATTCGTGACGCCCTATCTGGTGAGCCTGATCTGGAAGAGCCCGTCGCACTAGCGGCCCGGCAACTCCTTAAGGTCCAAGGTCAAGCTCGAGGCCCCCGCTCCTCACGGTCCGATGAGTGGGCCGTCTCCGGCGGCCTTCTCCACTTTCGTGGGAAGATTGTTGTACCAAAGGACAAAGACCTCCGGAGACGCATCATCGAGCTCTGCCATGACACCCAAGTCGCTGGACACGCTGGTCGCTTCAAGACCTTGGAGTTGGTCTCCCGGAACTACTGGTGGCCTCAGATGTCTCGCCACATCGGCCGGTACGTCGCAACCTGTGACCTGTGCTGTCGCACCAAGGCACTCCGGAGACTGCCCCACGGAGAGCTGCACCCGACGGAAACACCCCCGGAGCGCTGGCATACCGTCTCCGTCGACTTCATCGTCAAGCTCCCTGAGGCGCATGGGTACGACGCGATCATGGTCGTTGTGGACACCCTTGGAAAGCGAGCCCACTTCTCAGAGTGCCACACCACGGTCGACGCAGTAGGAGCAGCCCGCCTCTACTACCGGAACGTCTGGCGCCATCATGGGACTCCGGAAAAGTACGTCTCCGACCGCGGCTCACAGTTCATCGCGGACTTCACCCGAGAACTTTGGCGTCTAATCGGCATCAAGCCTGCCACGTCCACCGCGTATCATCCACAGACGGACGGTCAGACAGAGCGCGTCAACCAGGAGTTAGAGCAGTATCTGCGGATCTTCACCAACTATCAGCAGGACGACTGGGACGAGCTGATTCCGGCCGCGGAGTTTGCCTACAACAACCACGTTCACTCCTCCACGCAACAAGTCCCCTTTATGACGGACACAGGGACGACTCCCGCGCATGGGCTTCGAACCCGGAGTCCGTTCCGCTATGGAGTCAGTGAACGAGTTCCGCGACCGCATTGCCACTGGGGTTGCCGAAGCCAAGGCCGCGCTCACCAAAGCCAAAGAGGAGTACAAGCGCTACTACGACCGGAGATGCACTCCGTCTCCGGAGTTTAAGGTTGGCGACCGTGTTTGGCTGGATGCCTCTGACATCAGGACGACTCGCCCTTCGGAAAAGTTCTCCCACCGCCGTCTGGGACCATTCAAGATAGTCACGGAGATCAGCAAAGGTGCCTACAAGCTCGACCTCCCTCCGCCGCTACTCGAAGCTCCACCCCGTCTTCCCCGTTGTCAAGCTCGAGCTCGCTCAAGACGACCCCTTCGATGGACGCCCCGGCTACGACCAGCCCCCTCCAGACCTTGAGGACGGAGTCCCGGAATGGGAAGTAGAGGAGATCTTGGACGCTAGGATCAGGTATAGGCGGCTGAACTACTTTGTTAGGTGGAAAGGCTACGACACCTCGCACGACCAGTGGGTCCGCTTCGACCGCGTCTTCGCCCCAGACAAAATGGCGGAGTTCTATCGTAGGTACCCTGGCAAACCACGGCACATCGCCTCTGCGACCTTCGACACAATCCCTTTCCGATCTATGCGTCGGGACGCCGCATTCAAAGGGGGGGGGTGATGTCAGGGGAACCTCCCTTTCAGCCCGGAATCGCCCTGATTCTGACTCCGGTGATCGCATCACCGCCATCAATCACATCACCGCCTCCGCCTGGCGATCCCCCTGGGACCTGGCCTGCGACATGGCGCAGGCATACTGCATGGAGCAACGATCAATCTTGGCGCGTCAAGAGCGCAGTATATAGTTCAGCTACCTAGCAGGCGGACCCTTAGAGTTTCTTCTCTTTGGATCCTCCCCTGCTAGGTCAGCTTCCTTTGTATTTGCTTACTGTTATTCACTCCTTTGGATCCTCCCCTGCTAGGACCTTGACCTCAGGCCTCCAGGGTTGCCCTTACAGGGTCAGGGTCGACCCGCAGGGTTTCAGGGTAGGGTCTGTCAGGGTCAGGGTCAGGGTATGGCAATTTCTAAACCCGGCCAAACCCGGACCCTTTCAGGGTCAACCCGGAGGGTCCAATGAGCCGTTGTGATTTAACAATTCCCTATTTAAACTTGATTTTTGTGAGTTTTTAAGAGACAAAAAAAATCATATGTCACTTATGTCACTCATGTGACATGTGACATATGAGTGAACTGTATTAAATATGCTTGAAATATTAAGGAATAGGCCCCATATGCTATATCTGAGCCAATATCATACAGCAAAATGTATCTTATGTTGAAATTATTGTCCCAAATACATCTTTTACTTCCATGTCTCCAACCCGTGGGTCAACCCGGACCCGGTTGGACCCGTACCCGGAAGGGTCAGGGTTAGTCAGGGTCAGGGTCAGGGTCGGCCTTCTAAGACCTGGACCCGGACCCGTGCTCAACCCTAGGACTCATACCTATGAGCCTTGGGGAGCTTTACGATGAAGTCGACAGAAACAGTGTGCCAATGCTCTGGGGGTGTTTACCCTTTGGGTATTTAGTACAGTGCGCGTGACCACTTGTCTGAGGGGTCCCGGCAACGCCGGGAAAATTTTTGTAGATTTTTAGACATTTTTTTTCGAAATCAACTTGCAAAAATACGTCGATTTATCACTTCAGATGCATTTTCCCCACGGTGTATCACTTTTTGGCCAGAATTCACCGTTTCTGGTTGCCGGGCCGGTAACTCCACGGCTTACCCACGACCACATTGCCAAGCTTCGACGTGTCAACAAAATGCCCCGGACCGCGAATTCACGCGTCCGCGCCGCTGCAACGTCCAGAGAAGCTGCTAAGAGGAATGTCAGAGACCAAGGAGACTCAGACTACGAAGATGAACCTACCCCACCTTCTCCACCACGCACCGCCATTACTTCGTTCTTCCATCGCGTCGCTACGGTCCCGAAGAACGTGTCTGCTGGGGTCAAACGCGGTGCCAAGTCCGCAGAAGAGGTGCGTCGCCTGCTCTCCCACTATGGATTTCTTCTGAGATCTCGACAGCTTCTGAATAGGAAACGCCGACGCGAGAACGACGACTTGATTGACAAGTCTGCACCAAAGAAGCAATCACGAATGACGATCTATCGAGAGGAGAAAGGCTTAACGAAGAAGGCACGCGCAAAAAATATGCACATAACAAGCTCATCGTTCTTTGTGGTGCGATAATCACTTTTACATTCTAACCCACTCGCTGAGATATGAACAGAAACCGACGATGCCCGCTTTAGACAGCGTGCCTTTATTCCTTCCCAATGGCCAGCCACTCAATTCACCTGCCCCATCACCTCCCACATCGATTCTTCCACCTATCGAGATTGATTCGGATTCAGACATTGAAATCACCGATATTCCCAATGGCAGCCCTGCCTCGATGGACTCTGACATCGAGATGCCTCATGTCGACGTGTTACTCGTTGATGCAGAAGTCCCCACGGACATTCCAGCCTGCGAACCTGCCTCTTTCGCAGTGGAACCTCCTTCTGACGAAGGCCCTGCTGGAACTGAAGACGATGCCGAGCTGGAGTCGCCTGCCAACCTGTCTCTCGCAGCAATCAACATCCAGTACGACTCTTTCAAGCTGAAGCTTGATCGTTATGGCAGTAAACACTGTTCGGCCAGAGCAATCGCGAAGGACACAACGTCAAAAGCTGCCAACCGCAAACTGGTGGTCCTCGCACTTCAAGAATACGCGAAGCAGCGCAGAAATTTAGAGCGCGAGCGGGTCATGCTTGCCCAGCAGATCGACTGCGCAACCCCGCTGGCTCGCTACAAACTTCGCCAGCGTCTTGCCAAAATCAAGCCCGAGGTTCGAGCGAGTGAGCGCGTTGCATACCAGCAAGGGAAAACAAAGTACTGGGCCAGAAACCTGCGGTCTATTGCGCGTGAATTTCTGGCAACTGGGGAGATTGCTGAAAGCAATCAGGGCAAAGGCGCTCATCACGCAACTCATTTCGACAACCCTGATGTCAAGCCACGACTGGATGCATTCTGCAAGCGTCTCATCCCTCCAGAGAAGCCTTGGCGGCCTCAAGAAAGGCGAACGTGTATGTGCCTGCTTCACTTTATTTTCGATACTTGTACTCATGGAACACCACAGATCTCTCCGCAACGGCTGCGGAAATATGTCAATGAGTTTCTTCTGCCGGAACTCGAGATCACAACGACCATATCGCTCTCGACTGCCCTTGCCTGGCTCAAGAAGCTTGGATACAGCATCAAGAAATATCAAAAGGGCATCTATTTCGACGGTCATGAGCGACCAGATGTAGTCCAGAAACGAAAGGAATTCATTAAAGAGATGCTCTCGACGATTTTACCGTGCGTACTCTCTTGGAAATCAAGTGAACTCTTCTGACCTCTCCCCTAGCCTTTCATATCAATATGACGACGTCCCCTTCAACAAGGACGACCCAACGGATGATCCCAAAGCAAAACGACCCATTCGAGAGGTCCCGCCAACGCTCAAAGATGGACAAAAAATATTCTACCCGATATTCCACGACGAGACCTCAATTCACGCCAACGACCAGACTCGTTATGTGTGGGAACGAGAAGACGAGCACGAGCTGCGGAGCAAGAGTCGTGGACGCATCGTCCACGTTTCTGACTTCATAATCGAGCACTGCGGTCGGTTGTACCTTAGCGCGCGGCGGAAATCGAACAACAACTCAGGTTACCAAGACGTCCGCTGAGTCCAGCGGAGGAAGAGCAACAACATGCAATGTGGCGGGTGGTAATGAAGGTGGTGGCGAAGGATGCAGCGGGTGTTGGGGAGAAGAGGATGAAGGCTATCCTGAAGGGTCAGAAGCCGAAGAAGACGAAGAATAAAAAAAAGGCGGTGGAACCCAAGCCCTGCAATGCACCAGCAACCGACCGAACCTTCGGAAGGCGTCGATTGGACTCTGCCTCCACCACCAGCTCCATTCTCGCGTTACCGCTGTGAAGCATTCGACGCACGTCGAATCATCTATCCAGGCTCTGGTCATGACGCGTGGTGGGATATGCCTCAGCTCATTGCACAGGCAAGTTCCCTTTTCTATTCTGAGATCTAATCTAACCCAACAACAGACTCGCAACGCTATCGACATCTTTGAAGCAAAATATCCTGAAGGCATTGCCGTCTTCATTTTCGACTGCTCGTCCGCCCACGAAGCATTTGCCAGTGACGCGTTGCTTGCTCAGAAGATGAACCGAAACCCTGGCGGTCAACAACCAAAGATGCACTCCACAATCAATCCAGCAACAGGCTGACCCCAGAGCATGGTCTTCGAGGAGGCGGACAATGCTGTCGACAAGGATGGGAACTCACTCACAGGACTTCCCAAGGGCATGGAGCAGGTTCTTCGGGAGCGAAACATGCTCCCAGCGCTCGAGACAGCAGCATCGAAACGGGAAGTTGGTGGGAAGCTGGTCGGCGTCTGCAATGACTGCTTGCGATCTCAAAAGGCTCGTGGACGCTGAAGCAAAAGCTCAACGAGAAAGCAATGAGCCGACTGTCAATGGAGATCCAGACGCAGAGTCTTTCTTTGACGACGAACAGCGTCCAAGCGACTGCTGCATGCGACGGGCTCTTGAGTGTCAACCCGACTTCAAGACTGAAAAGCCGCTGCTCCAGGTTCTGATCGAGAAGCGAGCGCACAAGTGCCTTTTCCTTCCTCGTTTCCACTGTGAGTTGAATCCGATCGAGATGTACTGGTGCGAGACAAAGCGTCGTCAGTGTTTCTTTCCCAGTTCTTGAGTGCTCTTAACGCTTGCTGTCAGGTTTTCGCGAGAAGGCCGATGGGACGTTCCCAACCGCCCAGCGACTGGTTCACAAATGTCTGGACGCTGTTCCCATAGACAGCATTCGGCGCTTCTTCCGCCACTGCTTCCGCTATATGGATGCATATCGTCGTGACCTCAATCCGCAGCAGGCAGCTTATGCAGTCAAAAAGTACACCTCCCATCGCCGAATTCCAGCAAATATAATGATGGATATTAATATTTTGAACCGTTCTTAGCCTCTAGTACCTCTATGGACTTAAAATAAACTATTCTGGACAGTGCCGGAGTGATGCCGAGTGATGCCGATCAATGCCGAGGTGATTTCCCACGTGTATCACTTTTCTGAGGTAAGATTTTTCAAAACCTTGATAGATTCCTTAGATATTTTAACTTGGTGTACCTATGGCCTATAGCTTTCATTTGCTGCATTCTTGGAACTACATGATGGTAAGTAAAAAAGAACGGGTGGTCATCTTTTTTGGGATGACAGCACCACTGATCCGGCATTCAAGATGTGGTCACACGCACTGTATATTGGATAGATCCTTGCAAAGGTTGGGCTCTCCGAACTTGTCTTAGTCTAGAATCCCCAACTGCCAAGTATGATCTAGTATGTTTCGACTAGTTCTTGAGTATTTAACTCCCTAGTTGACCATTCAGGACTCATGTCAACTCTGAGACTTGTGCTGAGTAACAAAATTGACAAAAATAGTTGTTTCCTAGTCTGGCCCAGACTGCTGCTTATTATTGGAATCTAACATTTGTTTATAACACTCTTCATTTTCTATAGTTTGTTTCACACTATCATCTCTACCTCACTATCAGCATACTGATTTCATATTTAGGATTTAGACTGGGCTGATATCATAATCATAGTATTTAGAATATTTAATAGTTATTTAAAGCTATTGATTTATGGTTAATGCTACTTACATACTTATACACTTGATGCTAACAGAAGTTGCACCATTTCAGTGTGATGATTAGTTGCAGCACCATGCAGAGCCATTTTACCATTGCTTTCTATCATATTCACCCATGTGCCTAATGCTATCAGCAGTTTCATAGCTATCCACCTGTGCACCTGATGCTAGTAGAAGTTTCACCACTTCTGTGTGTCTATACCTTGCAGCAGCATGTAGAGCTGTTATTCCGTAGCTGGTCCCCTTATTCACCTGTGCACCTGATGCTAGAAGGAGTTGCACTACTTCTTTGTGGCCCTTAGTTGCAGCAATCTGGAGAGCTGATCCACGGTAGCTGGCCTCCCTATCCACCTGTGCACCTGATGATAGAAGAAGTTCCACCACTTCTGTGTGTCCCCTAGTTGCAGCACTATGCAGAGGTGTTGTGGTATAGCTATCCCCCTTATCCACCTGTGCACCAGCTGCTATCAGAAGTTGTACCACTTCTGTTTGTCCTATCTTTGCAGCAGCATGAAGAGCTGTTATACCGTCGCAATCCCCCTTATCCACCTGTGCACCAGATGCCAGCAGAAGTTGCACCACTTCTGTGTGCCCCTCAGTTGCAGCAGTATACAGAGCTGTTCTAGTGTGGCAGTTCACCATATCTACCTGTGCACCTGATACAAGCAGAAGTTGTACCACTTCTGTGTGTCCCATCTCTGCAGCAGCATGTAGAGCTGTCATACCATAGCTGGTGCCCTTATTCACCTGTGCACCAGATGCTAGTAGAAGTTGTACCACTTTTATGTGTCCCTTACTTACAGCATCATGCAGAGCTGTTCTAGTGTTGCTGTCCACCATATCTACCTGTGCACCTGATGCAAGCAGAAGTCGCACCACCACTATGTTGTCATTAGATGCAGCAACATGAAGAGAGGACCCCTCTTGTGGATCAATATAGTTCTGAAGCTTTAATATCTTGAGAGGAATTCCAACTATCTTTCTCCTCTGAAGCAACATTTGCATCATTGAGGGATCACTATTCCATGATGCAATCCAGATTTCATATTTCCCAGTTCTTTTCTTTAGAAGGTGTTCTGCTAACTCTTTTAGATTGCCTGCAATGGCAATATATACTGGCTTTACAAACTTGAGCCCTTGAAGAATATACCATGGCATTCCCCAGTCAAAACCCCATCTTTTCTTCCAGATTCTATGCTGTGCCATATAATCCAAAAACTGGATAAACTTGACATGTAGCTGGAATCCTGCACTTCTTGCTACATGTGCTAAGATATGAGGAGTATATGATACTAAGGGATACCTTAGTAATATATCTTCATTGTTCATCTCAGGTGATATTAAATAAATATAACTCATGAGAGTTTCTATAATCAAGATGTCCATATTCAGAAAGTCTGAGGATCTTAAACTCTCCAGATACTCCTGTGTAGTGTAGTGCACAAGACGTATGATATTTGATCCACTATCTTGGAGTAAAAGACCACAACAGATCTTGATAATATGATCAATTTTAACAATTTGGTTCCTAGTAGGATGAGTCTGTTTTCCTGGTTCCATTGCAAGAGCTGTTTGTAGCTCAGCACTTGTTAATGGCCGTTTTGCATGTGATACCCATCCCAGAGCTTGCAAGGCAAGATTTCTCTGGTTCGTAGGCTGTAGCTTAATGTGTTCTATTGTTTGCTGATATGTTGGAGCTAACCCCTCACATAAGCCTTGAAGTGTATTTTCAAGGGCTCCTCGAGTGAAGACTTCACTTAGCAGTTGGATCTGCAGCTTAACAATTAAGAACCTAGTAAAAATATTTATCTTTGTATACTCTTATTTTATATAAAATGCACTGACATTCCTTTTGATTTACTTATTATCTTGCTAATAATTTGATCTGTAAGAGCCTCATCCTTTTCTATGAGTGCTGCCAAGGTATGATATTTCTTGATCTGTGTTGATATATAAACTCTCATGTCTTCTTCATTTGCTTGAAGTTCAAGAAAAGTGAGAGGAAGATGACCTGGGTATGAGAGATGGGGTCTAGATGTGATCATCAAATTTACATTTGCCCCCAAATTGAGAAAATCATTAACAAGTGTGTGTGGCTCTTGCTCCATATACTCATCTAGTGCATCAATAATAATATACAGAGAGTTAAGCTTCTGGGCTGCCGATAGGATCAGTCGCCGGATGTCATTTAAGCTTGGAGTGGTTCCTTTCTCTAAATGCAATTCAAAGAGAGCTGTTGCCTGAATGATATCTTTCTGTATGATCAGCTGTCTCCATATTGCTCCTAGAAGATTCTGTGCAGTTTGCATCTGGCTTTCCTTATAATTGAGATAGAGCATGGCTATCCCAATCTTGGGATCTCTCTCTTTAACCTCCAAAAAATAATCCACTACTTTAGACCTGTATAGCAAATTTTATATATGTCTAATTTCATCAAGCAAGTTATCTTACACAAGAACTGTTTTGCCCATTCCAGCTAGTTTGGTTAATGAAAAAGATGATCAGACATGTGCTCATGACATACGAATTCCAGAACACCAAAGGATTCTACCTGAATGTTCTTTCCATCCTAGAAATTCTGGGTGCTGCAAGAGCCAATCGCTAGTGTTCTCCTGTCGTTCATTCTGAATTGCCTGATGCCGAGGAAACATATTAATTGGGGAGATCCAATTAATGACTTGAAAAGTCATTATTGAAAGGTACCTAAATAATTGCATTGACTCACCTTTTGATCTTTCAGGACCATCAGGAGCAGTATATGTTCTGAGCCATTATAGTTTATTTGTATGCTGCATATAAAAACAGATACCATACCGGTAGTCATTGAAATTCACAGTTGCCCCCTGGCCTGTCCCACCCTGGCCTCCATGGTGGCCTCCAGCTCCTCCAGCACCCCCAGTACCACCTCAATATCAAGTCAGAGGTTTCACATCTATTTCAACTTGAATGAGCCACTGACCATAGAGCCTAAGGTTGATTCCCGGTGGTACATCTGAATCTGACATCCAATTTGTAGACATTGTTGTAGTGAGAAGGGATGCGAAAGCTATCGTGCTTGTGCTGGTGGCGGTCAAGAGCAACGGGCGGCGACCGCATGGCGTGTGACTACATGGAGTTACTGACCACGATGCAGATGTGATGCAAGAATCATTCATTCCGGCCGTCTAAGCTGCTGTAGCACAAGTCCAACGTAGGATTTTTACCCACGGTGACAGGCCGCAACAGGCAGCCCGGGCCGCGCCGCATACAGCGGCGGCCCGCGGTTTTCACCATTCCGCTATGGTCGTCGCAATCCATAAATAGGCATCAGAGCCATTGCATATATCGCTATGAGGAGCATTCTCCGAGTCACGCAGGACGGTCATCGCGCGAAGTACTGCCCCATTGAACAATTTCAAAAGGTAAACGGGCTTATCATCTGGCCGGCGCTGCTCAGTGTCTCTCTATCGCGCGGAGGCAGTCTGCGTCAAACCGGAGCCTTTTCTCGTCACAAACACGTCTAGCCCTTTCTCCAACACCAGCGTTCTCTTTGCGTCGAGATACGGTGCCAGTGACATCGTCGACCGCCGTGCAACTTGGGCAGAGCCGGCGCGCAACGAGTCGACAACGAGGCTGAATCGGAGGGCAGTCAGACTCGGCGTGGTTGGCAAGAAGGAAGAAACGAGGCGGCGAACGAGACTTTAATTCACAACGGGACATATCATGTGCAGACTCGGATACAGACAGGTTACAGGTAAGTATTTGCAATGCAGGAAGAACTATTGCTACACAAACATAAGGAGAGAAAAGAGAAGACACCCCTACGTGTCCCAGCACCGCCGTTCCGCCGCCAACATCGCGTCAAAATCGATCCTCTGCCACGCCGCGTCATCGACGGACGTGCCGGCATTACCGTGAGCATTATGTGCGTACCCGGGCGCGAGCACCGGCGGCGCTTGAGCGGGCCCGGCAGCCTGAGCCCGGGCGTATGCAAGCGCCACGAGGTCCGCAGGGGAGTAGGTCGGTCCGGCGATGGGCGATGGCCCGGGGCCGTATCCGGGCTCCGGGTAGGGAAAGGCCGAGGCGGTGGGGAATATGAGCTGCGACGGCGGAGGCGGCTGAGCAGGGTATGGGTGCGCCGGGCCGGGAACGGGAGTGAGGAAAGCGGAAGGATGTGGTCGGAAGTGGCTAGGCGGGGGGTACAGAGGGTGGTGCGAGGTGCGATTGTGGTTGGGGCGGCCCGAAGGAAGCCGCCCATGGTGGCATTATCGTAGACGCGGGGAGAGGGGAAGCGGGGAAGTTAAACGTCGCCTGCAGTGACACTGAGAGCTGCGGCATAGCGAGGCTTGACTGGGGCGGGAAGGGCATTGGTGGTGGCACATTTGGAGCAGCAAAACTAAACGCGAGCTGCGCGTAAGACGGCGACAGCTGCCCCGAGGTGCCCGCCGCCGGGATCTGATTCGTCGGCGTCTTTTCGGTTGGCGCGATGTCAGCATTTGCGGCGTCGAGGTCCAACCGAGCCGGGCGCTTCCCCTTCCCCTTAGCCCTCGCCTCCGCCATGCGCGCAACGTACACCTCCGGGTGCTTTTTCTCCTCGTGGCGCGTGACGCCGGCCAGGTCCCGCTTGCCCTCGCCACAGTAGCGACACTTGTGTGGCTTCTCGTCGGTGCTGGTAACACGTGAGCAGGGTGGCACGGGGTATTAGTCGGACAAAACGCACTGCACATTCATATGATTATCCCGCCCCGTCTTTGTCAGCGCCAAGAACGTGCATTCTGGGCACGTCCACGACCTGCAACTCCGCCATCAGCCTCCACCTCAACAAGAAAAAAGAACCACGCACTGCGCCAAGCGATCCGCCTCCCCGAGGTGAATTTTGCTGTGCCGCGCGAGGTCGGACGAGCGCTTGAACGCGAACCCGCAGTTGTCGCACTTGTGCGGCCGGTCCGGCGCGTCCGGCGGCGGCGGCCGGTACCCCCGGCCCCGCCCGTGCGTCTTCCCGTGGGACCTCGCCCGCGGCGAAGGGGCGGGGGCTGAGTGCAGTGTCGCGGCCTTGGCGCCGGTGGCCGCTGCGGGTTGCTTGCGTTGACGGTGGGTTACGGTCATCGTTGGGAGAGGCTAGTTGGAGTTGGAGTAGATGGGCGGCAAGGCCCCCGGACACCCCACCCCTTATACTCTCCCCAATCCCTCCCCCGTCGACCCACCCACCTGCCCAATAAGGCATACACCGGCCGCAGCCGACGACGTCCTTTGTGTTGCACGACGCTTTGATCGCGCATCGTGATGCGGCTGATGCGACCGTTCCCCTGGTTCTGCCACGTGGCGTGGGCAAGCAAAGCGTACCAGCCGGGGCCAGCGGCGGCGGTTAGGGGAGGGGAAAAGCGAGTGCGGGTGTATGTGCTGGGCAGATGGGATGGAGGAAGGAGTGTGGGTGTGGCGCAGCAAGCGAGGCGAACTGGTAGAGACTGTCTGGCGGCTGGGAGCGGGGATTATCATTCGTCACGCGCAACAAGTGTGCGTCTGCAGCTAGGGCACTTGAGTTGGTGCCGCCACGTGGCACACCGGTAGACGCGCCGACTGGGAGGCCGGGAAAGCGAATGGCACCTAAGAGCTGTGGATAGGCGGTAGATAGGGTGTGGCGACCGCCAGAGACTCTTGTGTTTGGCGATTCGCTGAAATTCTGTTCAAGCTATCGGCAGTCGCAGTGAGACGCTGCGTTATAGCCTGCCGGCGTCGGCGTCGGGCCAGGCCTCAGCGCCAGGCTTCCCTTGCCGGCCCACATCGTCGTGGTCGTTGTTAAGGAGCGAAATCGGATCATTTCGGGCATGACGACATCGTCGTTTCCGGAAGTACCACGTGGTGCCGGAATTCCCACGTCATCGCTGCTTCGGGCTCATGGCCCATGTCCGTGGAGCCCATGTCCTTAAATGGACATGGGTCGATGATCCGTTATGTTCCCTAGTTACCCGTGTGACCCGACCGCGTCACACGTCCCAAGTCGTTGACTTGTCTTCTGCTTCGCTGCTCACATCTCGACCTTCGCGATGGGACGTGATTCTTCCCACCCACAACAGCGCGGTACTCACGGAGGTGCACGGCGCGGTGCTGGCCGGCCTCCCAAGGACTCTGAATCAGCAGCCCAACTACGACCGTCTCGTACTGCACTGCCGCGCCATACTCCTCAGGCATCTCAAGTCGTGCCCGGCCCCTTCTTTCGACCACGACGGCCAACGCAGCCTGTACCTGGCGATGCCAGCAACACATTCTGGGCAGCTGCCCATCCCGAATCAACTGCATTGGATGGGGATACTGATGGTCTTGGTGGCTCTGGTGCGTGCTTTATTTCTTTTTTACATCCTCCACAAGCTTCACATCTCTATATAGGCATGACTACCAACGAAGTTCGGCAGCTTCAAGATGACCTCGGCTTTGTCTCGGAGAATGACGAGCACGCAGATATTGCGAGGGGCGATGCATTGGTGGACGAGAGCTTAATGGGAGAGGTTTTGGAGGAAGAGGAGAGAGTAGATGAAGAAGAAGACGACGCTAGACCTACGCTGTTGCCGGAGTCTTCAATAACACGATACTTGCGCTCTGTCAGAGATCGTGTCCAAGCTGAGATCGACATCCACGGTGAACCAATGTGCTACCGCCGCAACGATCTGTACGAACGAGCACCACACCAGCTCTTCGCACTTAAAGCCTGTTTTACGCGCACGCAGCAAGATGAGCATCCAGAGGACATTCTTTATGCGCGCGATGTGTGCATCTGGCTGCCACACCTGCTATTCGGTGCCCCAGACAGTTTCAAGTGTTTTTGTGGACGCAAACTGTCCCGCAATGGTGTGTGTTCAGTGTTTTGACCATTTCTTTTACTCACTCACGTAGGTTTCAATGATAAACCTATTGCTCGACGCGTTCGGTCAATGCCAGTCGACTTCTATCTCATGACGAATCGTTTCGTCTGTGACCCCCGTCGCATTGGTGATTCCGGCTGTGGGATGAATTCCCAAGGCACAGACCCACTCATCCTTGGTCAACTGCCCCGCTTTGTGCAAGAAGCATTCCCAGGTATGTTTTATTCGTATTCACACTGCCAGTGAGCAATGCTGAGATGATACAGCCTACATAATCACTCGCGCTGCCATTTCCAAGACACTTCTGTGGCAGATGCGAAATACATTCGCTACCCGGTTTGGTCCTGCGCCCTTCGCTGAGCTGATTTCCGAGATCCAATACCGCCACCATGCGGAGTGCGAGCTCATGTATGTTGCTGCTGCACACTTCTATGGGATTGTGAACGCCAATCGCTTTTCCGAATTCGGCAACAAGCTTCAATATAATGCCTCGCCACCAACTGTCTCGTACCTCAAGGGTGTGTTTACCGACTACATGACAGCACATCGAGTCTTCATTGACCGCTATGTTGCGAGTCTTCCGCTAACAATTGCCAAGGCAGACCACACCTTTGATGTAGGTTTAGCTGCACTACGCTTACTATATTGCTTATATCTCTACAGTTTCTCAAGTACATGGGTGGTTTCAAGGGTGAACACATCTTTACTGCTGCGTACATCATACTCAATGAGTGGGAGCAAAACCCGTGGCCATGTTCTGACTATGACCAAATCACTGGACTTCGTGAAGGATACATGGACACAGATTCAGGAGGGGTTGAAGGCAGCGAATCATCCTCCGACACAGATTGTATATACCGACTCTCCGCAGGGTAAGTACTTGTGGATGCAAATGACTAAGTCTAATTTCAAGTAGCGGAGCGCAATTTTCATGAGCAGCTTCACGTCGAACTATCGAAAAATGTCCAACCCATAACCGAGTGGACTGATCTCGAACCGTTTGCCCGCTCCCTCAACATTCCTCTTGCTTATTCAGATGACTCGATGCATATCGAGTCATTGGCAAGCGGGATTCTACAACAGTTCTACGGTGGCTCAGTTGCTATTGATGATGTTCATCTACTTGCTCTAGATATCAGTTATCAACCACCTAGCATGCCAGGTGCCCGCTACTCAATATCGAGCATTCAGATGCGGACTGTTTTTGGTATCTATGTCAGGGGAACCCCCGCTTCGGCCTCCTTCGGACCCTCCGAACGCATCCGAGGCGCATCCGACCGGCACCCCCTCGGACCCTCCGACCCACCCCCGACCATCGTCCACGGCCTCCTTCGCCCGCACAATCACCGATCCGTCAAGACCCTCCCAACGATCACCTTGGGACAGAGCCTGCGACGCCGCTCAGGCCTTCTGCGCTCTACGTCGGCAGTTACGGACGACCAGTATATAGTTGGCGCCCTAGCAGGCGGACCCTTAGAGTTTCTTCTCTTTGGATCCTCCCCTGCTAGGTCGGTCCCTCCGTGTATTTCCTGTAGTCTTATTCACGCTTTGGATCCTCCCCTGCTAGGCTTTCGTCGGAGTCTCCAGGGTTGCCCTTACAGCAGAAGAAACTCGCTACGGGATTAACCGGTCAAGATTGCCAGGTTTGGTGCTGACTCAGGCTCGGAGTACGAGTCCGTACCCCCCTCGTCACCGCCCCTGCCACTTGACCCCTCCTCCTCTGCTCTTGTCGTCTTTACGCCCGCTATGTCTACCGGAGCTGCTCCGGACGCTGACGCGCATGGACGCACTTGAGGCGAAACTAGACAACCTCACCAATATCCTCACCCACCTTGCTTCCCAGGCTTCCGCTGCCGCACCACCTCCGGCAGCTCCCGAACCGCCCGGCATCTCCGAATGCCCCCGACGCGGATGCGTTATTTGGTGACATTACTGTCGCCTCAAAACTGGTCTTACGACCAAACCCCCCCGTTTGCGTTTAACGGAGATCGCAAACGCGGCCGCGCCTTCCTATACGCGGTCAAAACCTACGCTCGGCTTGCCCCGGAGGCCTTCGTAGTTAACGGAGAGCCGAGCGAAGAAAAAGGCCGTCCGCTACGCCATGTCCTATATGGCGGAGGGACCTGCTCAGCAATGGGCAGAGCGTCATGGGAGCAAAAACCCCTTCCCCTTCCCTCGGTGGAGCCAGTTCCTCTCCGAGTTTCGCCTTCGGTTCGTCGAGGAGAACGAACAGGACCTCGCGCTCGCTAAGTTGGAAAGCGCGGGTTATCACATGGGAACGCGGGATGTCTACGGATATACCGACGACTTCGAGGACTTGATGGACCTCGCTGGCTTCGAAGACGAGCGTTGGTTAAGGTAACCAAGTACCGCCACGGACTTGACCCCTTGCACCTGTTAATCCCACATATCCCTTGTAGTTAGAATGTACGCTACAGCGCGGTGTGCATTCTAACTATAAATGTTTCTGTAAATGGCCCAATGCTGCAATAAATAGAGTTTAAAGTTGCAATAAATGTAATAATTCTGGGGCCTAAGACTTGAATGCTAAGTCGGCAACCTATGCTGCAATATCTACTATAAATATTAAGCTAACAGATCATTGAGGCTTGCCAAAAAAGGCAATTTCAGTTGAAAGGACTATAAGGTGTGTAGACTGTAATATCTACTATCTCTGTGATATATTATGATTACATCATTGAAAGTTAGCAAAAGAAGAAATACTTAGTATTAAGGATCTAGTACTTAAGTAACTATAATATATGACACTGTTATATGACATCTTACTATATTTGTTATATTATGTCATACTATTCATATTGATGGTACTCATTTCAGCTCTATATGTGCTGTTATATCATATGTGCTGTGACAGGTGTAACATATCTCTTAAAAAGGAAATTTTCGCTATTTGACAGTACAATCATCAGATAATGTCACAAAGCATCACAAAATTAACGTTATATATTTTGACTATATGAACAACTTTCATTGAGTGACCAATAGTGGCAGCTCAGTAATTATGTTAACATTGGCCAATTATTAGCTGATCTATGCTTTATACAGTGATTTTTTACTATGTAGACAACCCACATAGGTTATTGAAGCACCACTAAGGGTACCTGAATATTAAGACCAGTACTCTTTAAAATATAATGTTATTAGTATACCTATACCATCTCATGATGATTCATCATATCTATTGATGTTGAAATTTGTCCACCAAATCTGTATGAATTCAAATGATTGTTGTACTGATAGGTAGCTATTTACTTAAGCTTTAGATGTTCTGATGTGATCATAGTCCTATATCGTAATACTCCAATATTATGCCACTTTTCCCCTGGTTTCCATGTTTTAAATTGGATCAGGCATAATGATCACTTGATATCTTGCTGAGAAATGCATGGATAATCATGATCCAAGTTGCATTCAGGTCTCATAGATGTCTATAGTAGCTGTGTGTACCCCCCATAATTTTATATATCACATGCACCTGTATACATGGCATAAATTCTATCACTCTAATCTCTTAATAACCTCCTTGAAGGTGAGGGGCCCCCTAATGGGATTAAGGTGGGAAACATGTAGAGGGATCCCCCTATGAAATGGTATGCCTTACATCACATACTATGTCCAGAAAATCCTGTTATGCTCTATTAGACTGATGAATACTACTATATATTATATTGGCAATGAAGCTATGATCTATCATTTGATTGGAGATCAAATATGTAGAACTCAACAAATATGGTGTATACACATACCCACATACTCTGATTGACTCTCTATATTTCCAGAGGATGAATTGGGGTCAATATTCCGAGATGAGTTGAGTGCAGAACAGGTTTACATGAATGGTGGGGTCTATAGACTGAGCACCAGACATTAAGATGCATAGATAAGGATATTTGGATGTCTAGTAGGACTCCATACTATAATGCATTGTGGTTGTGGCATGTGTTGCTACAGGTAGCTGAACAGAGGGTAGGTATGCCTAGAGCAAAAGAGAGTGCCTTTGCTATTACAACAGGTCAGAAATTAATTTCAAGTATGATGCAAGCCTTGAGCCTAGAATTGTATAGGGCTCCAAATGAACCTGTCCAGCACTTGAATCAACCTTATATCTGTTCTGGATCCCTCACAGTACTATTATCAGTGTTATCTACCACAAAGATGATGGGTTCACCATGGTATCACCCATGCGGTTGAAGGAAATCTAAGGATATATACTGGTAGGGGTATGCTCCACCTCCCAGAAACTGGTGGCCCTGACCCTCTAGCATATCTCTATCCTGTGCTATATAGCACCTAAGGTCTTTGGGAATTGAATCACCCTAGCACCTGCTGTGTGGTTATAAATGAGTGGAGGCATGGTGGACCATCCTATGGTCTCAGATCAACTTAGATCATGAGATTCTATGCATGTGGCCCTAAGATATCAGCAAAATACTGTTCAACTTGGTATTTTAACATGCTTGGCAGTGAATAGCTCAGGGTAATGGTAATGAATGATACAGAGACAAGGGCTGAAGGATAGATGGATGGTACACCTTTCAAATGAACTCTCTCCCAGCTTTATCCACCAAGGCTAGCTGGAGATCTGTGCTTATCTTCCAAGGGTGATAGGGATCAATACCACTGATGAGTGGATGTATTGCATTATCAGTGCCACATTCACTGGGAATTAAGAAGGGACACATCAGAGCCTTAGGTCAGAGTAGGCAAACTTACAAGTCAGCTACCTTATATTTTAAAAGTACCAGATATTTTCTTTTTCAGGACCGAAGGGACAATGTAGTAATTATACAATATGATAATCATCAATATATCTGATCAATCAATAGTACTTTTGAGACCCTTCCTGCTAGTACTTGATTCATGCTTTTAGCTCAAGTAGCTATAAAGATAGAGGCCCATCAGTTATACATGAGCTAGTGATGGGTTAGTGCTCACACATTTATTGAGCTGCCACCATGGGTTACTTAAAGAAAAGGTGGTTATATAGTCAAAATATACAACTTTGATTTTGTGACGATGTGTGACATTCTCTGATGATTTCCCCGTCAAATGGTGAAAATTTCCTTTTTAAGAGATATGTGACACTTGTGACCTCATATGACACTGTGTAACAAAACTAGTACCATCAATACATATAGTATCATATAATATCACAAATATAGTAAGATATTATATAACAGTGTCATATCTTATAGTTACTTAGGTACTAGATCCTGCTGTATAGTAATACCAACTCTTTCCTTTTTTGGTAACTTTCAATGATGTAATCATAATATATTACTGGAGATAGCAGATATTACAGTCTACAAACGTTATAGTGCCTTTGAACTAAAATTGCCTTTTTTGGCAAGCCTCAACAATTTCTTAGTTCAATATTTATAGTAGATATTGCAGCATAGGTTGCCGACTTAGCATTCAAGTCTTGTGCCCCAGAATTATTACATTTATTGCAACTTTAGACTCTATTTATTGCAGCATTGGGCCATTTACAGAAACATTTGTAGTTAGAATGCACACCGCGCGCTGTAGCGTACATTCTAACTACAAGGGATATGTGGGATTAACAGGTGACCCCTTGATCAACAACGGCATCACCTCTTCGAACGACCCCCCAGACCTCCGTGACTATCTGGGCTGGCGCACTCGGGCTTTCCGACAATATGAAGCCCTGGTGCGAGCGAAGCTCATTAAGGGAACGGCTACCCCGCGGACCGCTTCGGGAGCTCCGCGCGGCGCCTTCCCCATCACTCGTTCGGCAACTCCGTTCCCCATCCGCCTTGCGAGTTACGGGTAGTCCTCGGTTTCGCGTTTGCAGATAGTTTTGGTACAAATAACGGTGTCGGTCTCAGTTCTCC